CTGAGCCTTGAAGCGTCCTCAATAAACAAAACATTACCGATAAATAAAACATTTGGCTATTGTTTGTCTTATCTTTACGAGCATCTTGGCATTGGGTAGCAATCAGTTATTCATTCCTCCTTCCCTTTTAAACTTTAGAAAACTGAACTTTTAAGTTTAGATTTTCTTTTTTAAATAAAGAATTTCTGAAAAAAGGTTCAAATATGCCTTTGTGAACATGGTTAAAAATGAAAAAATACATCTCTATATGTATAATATCTCTCCTAAAATGACCAGAAGGTCATGAACTTGAAGCCTTATTAGCATCAATACACAGAACATTATCAGTAAATAAAAGCTATTGACTGTCTTATCTTAAGAGCATTTGGTCACTGCTTTGTCACAGTATTGTGCAGCATGTGTCTCTGCTTTGTCACGGTATTACGCATGCAGCATTCAATATGATTAAATATTAGCAGCATTATTTACTGATAACGTTTTGTTTATTGACGCTTATATACATTTACAACCTTCTGTTTAAAACTTCAAGATAATAATATTGATATTGACCTTGGCAAATAATGATTTTGTATAAGATCATAATACAGGTCTCTTATAGGCGTTTGATCGGATCTGGTGACTGTGAACGTCATACACCTTAAGCAATTCAGAGACCTGTGTGCCCTGTAGATGGATGCTTTGTCATCCTGGAAAATCAGGATAGAAATGGTTCATCATAGTCAGCATAACTTGGTTTCGATTTGCAGTGACCTCTCCCTCTAAGGGGGACAAAGCAGACTCAAACCATGCCAGCAAAATGACCCCTGCAGCATACCAGAGCCACCGGACCCTCTCACTTTAGGCACGCAGGCCTTTATCGTTCCTTTGGTGTTCGCTGCACATGCACTCGCCCACTAGTGGACAGTAAGGTGATGGATTTTCTGACCAGATCACTTTTTTACACATCTCTGTACACCAGCGCCTCCTGAACTCTCCAGTGGTCATTCATTCTTTGTAATAAGGGGTTTATAAGCTGCAGTCGTTCTATAATATCCCTCTCTGTAGTTGTTGAGCTGTTCTTGCATATCACACCAGTGCAGGAGCGTCACGGTCACCGAATGTGTGCTTTTGACCACAATCTTCAACCCTGTCTCTTCCATAGATGTAAATGCAGATGTCATTTTAGTCGCTGTTCCTGTTGAAACACTAGCCAGATGAACAATGTTTGTGACCGAAGCTGTTCCCCAAAATTTAACCCTCTACTAACGTCACTTAGATCTTTCCTCCTGCTGCCTTGATCAAAAATCAGCAGTTAAAATTTTAAAATGAGAATTTTTAAACTTAAACTAGTCTTTAATTTTTAAACTAATCTTAAGACTAAGAAAGACCAGGTTAAACATATGCATCATTTTCTTATGTGTGTCTAGTAGATTTCCTGCATTAGTTTGACCATCAGCAACCATAAAGGGACATGAGCTGTCATGGAGGATCACAGCTGTTCTAAATGATTCATTCACTGAGTCCTCAGTGTGTCTCTGAGGTCTTCCATGTTTGCTCATGTCTCAAGCAGGAGCTAATGAAGGAGAGAGGGACTGGAGAGAAACATACCCAAAAGGGAGACATGATCAGCGAGTTATCTGTGAGCTGATACTTAAGTCCTTAAACTCTAGGGGTCCTGCCTGTGGCCCAAACTTCAGTTTCTCATTTCAACATAAGTGTTGCATATAATGATGTAGTATTTACAGAGTAATGTATAGTAGTTACTAATTAATAAGTATTAAGATGACTGAAGGTTCAAGGGGTTAATGTGTAAGACAAGACAAGGCAAGGGTGATCGTCTGACTCCCGAGCAGGTTCAGGGCACTGAGGGTCTCTCTCGCACGCTGACCCCTCTTACCAAAACAGACCAAAACACTGCATAACCTGCTTGTGAGAAAATGACTTTCTACACTCGTGATGACAACCAAAATTTGGAAAAACGTGTCACTAAGGGAGACATTTTTCTGATGCTCACTTATAAGTACATGTAAACAGTAGTGAAGGGTTTTGTTGTTGGAGTGCTCAGTTGCTGAGTAGTTTTTGGTTAGGAGTGCTCAGTTGTGAGTATTTGTTTTTGTTGGAGTGCTCAGTTGCGAGTAGTGTTTTGTAGGAGTGCTCAGTTGTGAGTATTTGTTTTTGTTGGAGTGCTCAGTTGCGAGTAGTGTTTTGTTGGAGTGCTCAGTTGTGAGTATTTGTTTTTGTTGGAGTGCTCAGTTGCGAGTAGTGTTTTGTTGGAGTGCTCAGTTGTGAGTATTTGTTTTTGTTGGAGTGCTCAGTTGTGAGTATCTGTTTTTGTTGGAGTGCTCAGTTGTGAGTAGTTTTTTGTTAAGAGTGCTCTGTTAGTAGTGTTTTGTTAGGAGTGCTCAGTTGCGAGTAGTGTTTTGTTAGGAGTGCTCCGTTGCGAGTAGTGTTTTGTTAGAGTGCTCAGTTGCGAGTAGTGTTTTGTTGGAGTGCTCAGTTGCCAGTAGTGTTTTGTTAGGAGTGCTCAGTTGCCAGTAGTGTTTTGTTAGGAGTGCTCCGTTGCGAGTAGTGTTTTGTTAGAGTGCTCAGTTGCGAGTAGTATTTTGTTAGGAGTGCTCAGTTGCGAGTAGTGTTTTGTTAGGAGTGCTCAGTTGCGAGTAGTGTTTTGTTAGGAGTGCTCAGTTGCCAGTAGTGTTTTGTTGGAGTGCTCAGTTGCCAGTAGTGTTTTGTTGGAGTGCTCAGTTGCCAGTAGTGTTTTGTTAGGAGTGCTCAGTTGCCAGTAGTGTTTTGTTAGGAGTGCTCAGTTGCCAGTAGTGTTTTGTTGGAGTGCTCAGTTGCCAGTAGTGTTTTGTTAGGAGTGCTCAGTTGCCAGTAGTGTTTTGTTGGAGTGCTCAGTTGCCAGTAGTGTTTTGTTGGAGTGCTCGGGTGCTGAGGAGCTCTGTTACTGCAAAGGCTGAACGACTGTAAGGCTGTGGATTTGCTGCTGAACAGTGCGTTAATTATAGCTTTTCATGATCAACTGATTGCAAAGTCCAAATCTGTGGTCGTGATTAATATGATTACGTGAGCAGCCCTCTTTGACCGCAGAGTATCACTGCTAAGCTCAGAATTTCTCCCATGAATATAAGCCTTTTTCCTCCATGCATAAAAAGTAAGATTTCTGCCTTATGCCTGGTTACAAGGTAGTTGAAGTTATGCAGGACATTTTGCATTATATCCTATTACACGTCCAAAGTTGCTGAAGCTCTGAAGATGCAGTGTGACGTTGCTTTGGAGCTTAAGGACTGAACAGAGCAGGCCTGACCGATTTAGTCCTTAGCAGATTGTTAGCAGTTAAGACCTGCTGTTGGATTGCTGAATTCTGCAGTACCAGAGGACAGCGATCAATGTGGTGGAAGATTTAGTCACTCCTGGCCTGTTTCCCTTACGCCTCAAATATGTCTCTTGACGTACGTGCTGTACTGGAAAGAAATGGTTCGTCTAAATTGATTTACACAGTTTTCCCCATTAATATAGCTGCCCAGTGTTGGTCCTGAGGACATTTGACCTGTCAGAGTTACCCCATCCTCTATAATGGGGACAAAATAACTTGATAAATTCTTGTTTTCCCTGTTTTTTTAAGTATTTTAGTAACACAGTATTGTCTAATGCTGCATTCAACTAAAGCCTGTAACTGGGAATTTCCCAACTCCTACTATAAAAAAGGCCCTCTCACCTGGGGATTCCTACTCTGAAAGTTGGGATGGTGTTCTCAACTCCGAGCTCAGCGTATGATGTCAAATCAACTTGGCTACTTAAGCAGTCAGTAGTAATAAGGAGCCCCTCTACTTTTAAATGATATTTAGGTCAGTCAACATACAGACTCAGTAGTTGGTTCAGCAGTAACACTGACAATTAAGTTCCCTGTTTTGAGCTGGTGATTACATCATTAATGTTAATGTTATCGCAATCTTACATTATCATTATAGTTCTACATGGACCCTCACAGAGCAGGTACTATTTGGGTGGTGGATCATTCTCAGCACTGCGGTAACACTGATGTGGTGGTGGTGTGTTAGTGTGTGTTGCGCTGGTACGAGTGGATCAGATATAGCAGTGCTGCTGGAATTTTTACTGCAGTGCTGAGAATGATCCACCACCCAAATAGTACCTGTCTCTGTGAGGGTCCATGGGGGTCCTGACCACTGAAGAACAGGGTAAAAGGGGGCTAACAAAGTATGCAGAGAAACAGATGGACTACAGTCTGTAACTGTAGAACTACAAAGTGCACCTATATAGTAAGTGGAGCTGATAAAGTGGACAATAAGCATAGAAACAAGGTGGTGGTCGTAATGTTATGCCTGATCGGTGTATTTTATCAGTAATGTTAGCTGGCGAGCTCATCGCTAACAACACTCACTTCCCATCTTTGAGAAGCCGAATGCAGCATCATGTAATAGTGTCATGTAAAAGTGCATTTTAAAACCTACCTATATGCTTTTTTTGCTTTTAATTTTGTCTTTTTTGACGCTCGGCTCACCACAAACATTGCACTTCAGCCTCCCATGACCAGAAGTTTGAGCACCGCTGGTCTAAAGTTTTTTTTTTTTAAGCCATGTGATGTAATTTTGTCCATGTTTCTGGACAACAGTTTGTCATACAGTGTCAAAAACCACATAAGTAAGTCGATTTGAGATAACTTAAGCACATTTCAAACAATTGGTAGGGTATTAGTTAGCTGCAATAGCCATGTAGCTTCAGTGCAAAACTAAACGTGTCTTGGCTGATTGAGTACATTTGGGCTAATGGGGTAAATTTAATTTAATGTAAATCTAATTTGTGACTGAAATATTCCCACTGGACTAGGACTAAATTCGGGCTTATGATAAGGATGATGCTGCTTCAGATGGTGCTTATGACCATCATACTGCTCATGGCTATAACAATGCTGACCATCACTGTTTCATTATACTTGTTGTACTAGTGTAAACTGTGATGATGACGATGATGATGATTTATGAAGGCTTGTTTCTGTCCCGCAGTGCGAGGATGCCGTCCAGGGAAGATTGTGCAGATGACGGAGGCGGAGGTGAGAGGCCTGTGCATCAAATCCAGAGAAATCTTCCTCAGCCAGCCGATCCTGCTGGAGCTGGAGGCTCCACTCAAAATCTGTGGTACGCCTGCCAACTTTCACCCTCTTCTCTTTTTTCTCTCTCTCTTTCCTTCACTCTCCATCTGCCAAGTCTACTCACATCAGCTGCTGGAAAACAGCTAAACTTTACTTTTGCCTTCTTTCAAAGCTTGCAGCAATTTAGGCTCATTAGAGCCGTGAGGAACGCATCACTGTTATAAGAAAATCTTCTAACTGCTTTTTTATTTATTTATTTTTAAAATATACACCAATCAGGCATTACATTATGACCACCTCCTTGTTTCTACGCTTATTGTCCATTTTATCAGCTCCACTTACTAAATAGGTGCACTTTGTAGTTCTACAATTACAGACTGTAGTCCATCTGTTTCTCTGCATACTTTGTTAGCCCCCTTTTACCCTGTTCTTCAGTGGTCAGGACCGTAGATGGACTACAGTCTGTAATTGTAGAACTACAAAGTGCACCTATATAGTAAGTGGAGCTGATAAAATGGACAATGAGCACAGAAACAAGGAGGTGGCCATTATGTTATGTCTGATCGGTGTATGAGATTGGTATTGGTGTTGGCCAGTATTTTTATTAGAAATGACAAAGATCTATTGTGCATTCTCTAACATTACCACTTCATGAATGGATGAATGGATGAATGGGCGAGCAGCAAACCTTTCAAATTAAGTTGCTTTACCTTCTTCTACAAAGTTACTGTTTCAGAAAGATGAGTTTTTCTTACAACAGCCATAACAAGAAATGATTATAAAAAAGTTTGCGATTGTTTTTTAATATAGTAGTACTAGCGAATGTTTAATAAGTGCCAGCGTGGCATAATTTGCCAGCAGTAAACATGCAGTTGGTTTGTTTTTGCTCCTGTGGTTTCACTGAAAACTGCTGTTAAATGGGACCACAAACCAACACATGAGACAGTTGCTTCACCATCATCATTACAACTCGGTTCACTGCTCAGACATGAGATTCAACTAAACACAGCAGGAAAGTTTCTCACAGAGGCTGCTGAGCTTGTGTGTTTGTGTGTGTTTGAGTGAATGTGGCTCTCAGGGGCTTTTCGTGTGTGTGTGTATATGTGTGTGTGTGTGTGTGTGTGTGTGTGTGTGTGTGTGTGTGTGTAGTGTGTAAGCTTTGCTCAGTCTGAGGCTTAATTTTACAGACTCAAGTAGAATTCACTGACACTGGAATGTGCTTATGTAATCAGTAAGCAGAGATGCGGAGACATGCTGTCATTTTCATGTCACTCTTTCTCATGAGTGGACACAATACACACACTACTGAAGCCCAGCACACACACAGTTCTGCATGGGCAGGAAATTGAAGCCTGAGCCCGCCTCATACCTGCGTTCACATTACAGGCCTCATCGCTCTAATCCGATTTTTTGCGCAGATCTGATCTCGACTCAAATCTGTCATTAATGTAAACGAAACTGCGTCATGAAATTACCTGCATGCACATCCTAATCAGGATTACGTCACGTGAATGAATCACGTGCATCATGAACAGCAAACAAACTAACCAGCAGAGCAGGTCTTCACAGAAAAGATAATTAGCTCTGAACAGCTCTCAGCTGCTCGTCATTAGTTGAAAGTTGAATAATGTCTGCGTTTACTGGTACTAGGTTCAGGTTAGGTACTGTGGCCGCTGAACGATGACGCAATGGAAAAAAAACAGAATTCCAAACTGATCATTTTCATTAATGTCACATGGCTGCAAATCTCATACATAATTGATCTAGAACCACATATGAAAGTGGCTCAGAGCTGATTGGAAAAGAATCCAGACAGCTTTGAAAACATCAGATCTGTGTTACATTAAGGCAAAAAATGGCTTTAAGCACAGGGACTAACGGTTCTAGTGGCATTTCCACACAGACATGGCTCTACTGCTTAAGACTCAATGTGTTGAGATAACCATGCTTGGGGCCAGAGAAGCACTCAGTGGGGTAACTACACCGATCAGGCATAACATTATGTCCTTGTTTCTACACTCATTGTCCATTTTATCAGCTCCACTTACTATATAGGTGCACTTTGTAGTTCTACAGTTACAGACTGTAGTCCATCTGTTTCTCTGCATACTTTGTTAGCCCCCTTTTACTCTGTTCTTCAGTGGTCAGGACCCCCATGGACCCTCACAGAGCAGGTACTATTTGGGTGGTGGATCATTCTCAGCACTGCAGTAACACTGATGTGGTGGTGGTGTGTTAGTGTGTGTTGTGCTGGTCTGAGTGGATCAAAGGGGTAAAAGGGGGCTAACAAAGTATCAGAGAAACAGATGGACTACAGTCTGTAACTGTAGAACTACAAAGTTCACCTATATAGTAAGTGGAGCTGATAAAATGGACAATGAGTGTAGAAACAAGGAGGTGGTCATAATGTTATGCCTGATCTGTGTATATGACATAGCTCTTAGCTGATTGGTTCTGTGTTTACGCATGTGTTGTGCCACCTGTTGTCCTTTATTTCAAAGCTGAAAACAAAGTTTCAGTTCGCTTACAGGGTCGCAAAAAAATGAAAGGATTACACTGTTTTCATTCCATCATTCAAAAAATGTAAAGCCTTCAATCTCGCAAATCATCTTGCTGCTAGAAGAGGAGCTGGTCAGCATTAGCGTAGCATTCTAACAGCTCTGCTCACCACAGAGTTCACATCTGGCTACCTGAAGCTACACAGACATAAATTTGGATGAGAATAACTCAGATCTGAGGGAGTGAAGTCGAGCAACTTCAGTTAGAGTGACAGAAAGCCTTTCTAAGGTGTTTCGATCTTTAACCTGCTCACAGCTCTCCTAGTTAGCTTAGCTAATAGGCTACAGGCCCTGCACTCACAGCAGTGCAGGTCTGATTCTGACTGACCGAGGCTCTGCTGAAACAATTGTAGACTAGTAAAAATCATCTGAGAGTAGAGTTGAGCGACTGGTGTTGGAGTGACAGAACGGCAAAATCTGACTTTTTGGTGCTGTGACGTTTTGAGTTGTAGCTTGAGTTAAGCTAACGCTTAACGCTCCGTTCCAGATAGCCGATGTTTAACGCTTTCAACTCCTTGAGACCACCGGTGGTTCCAAAACGCACTTCGTCATGTTCTTCATAACTTTCATATTTCATAAGCTACATTCTAAAGGTGGGGGTCGTATGAGAGCTGTAACTGTCTTCTTTCCAGTCAAATAGATGGGTGATGTAATTTTAAACCCTTATAATAAAAGAAGCTGAACTCAATTTTTTTTTCTACTGAAAGTCGACACATTTTTCCCACAAATCTGGGCTATAAACTATAAACAGATGGCGTCTCTTCAGTGATCTGCTCTGTAAAAATTATTTTAATAAAAAAATACAAAGAGCATCTAAGATTTTTAGCTTTCAACAGTAAATTGTAAGCATATAGCAATATGTATGATCATAAAACACATGTTCTGTTAATTTGAGGGGAGCTTTTACAAAAAAATAAATTTAAATAGAAATGTACATTTATTTCATGCAGTTACTGAATAATTTTCCTTACGATTTGGTCATGTAAATTCAAATGGACAAACCAAAACATACCCTGGTGAATAAGAGGTTAAATAAGATACGTTTTGAGGATAAAAATATTTCAGGAGGACAAAGTTGAGTGACTGGTGTTGGAGTGACGGCTGAAATCAAATGTATTCTGTGGTCTGTGTGTGTAGCTATTCACCTGTTAGTCATTGCTGAGCCACTGCCCCTGTGTAGATTTGTTCTGTGTGGAAATCGCAGCAAGATATAATAAATAAAATAAAAAATCACTCCGTAGAAAACAAACCATAATTTGTACTAAATGACTCCAAACTTTTGAATGGCAAACTTTCCATTTTTCTTTTTAGCGCATACCACAGTGTCTTCGTCTCTGCTTTCTCTTTCGCTCACTTTATTCCCTTTGGTCTGTGTCTCAGCACACTGTCTCTCTTCATCTCTCTCTTTCAGTGTCAGTCGTTCCCCTCTGAACTCTCCTAATTTCTCTCTCTCTCCCGCTCCCTCTCTCTCCCCCTCTCTCCTGTTCCCTTCCTTGGTTCTGTCTTTGACTCTCTGTCCTTTTGCCTTTGTGGTCCCTCCTGATTTCTAGCACGGCCTGTGCTCTCATTTCTTCTCCTTCTGTCTCTCTCGTTTATGTTACACACCCTCGTTCTCTCTCTCTTTTCAGTTCTACGCTCCACCCAGCTGACAGAAATAGTTGTCCTCCCACTTTTAGCCATTTCTTTAGCCAGCTGTCAGTTGTCCACATAAAATAACCCACAGTTAGATCATCTGATTATTCTCTCTGCTGTGTTTAAGCTATTTTAGTACAAGCTGCTCCCAAAATTGACAGTTTGGAGCACTAAATTTAAGTAATCATGGGTTCCCATATTCCATATTTACATGGATGCACAATTCAATCGGGTAAACCTGCTAGAATAGACAACATTTTAGCCGTCTTGCTGGAGATGAGTTTGTATGTGTGTTTATTATTATTTTTATTAGTAATAATAATAATAATTATAATAGTAACACCCTTTAATGAATACATCATCATTATGTATTTAATGTAATCACTATTTACCAATGTTTCTGTTTTACTGTATTTTTTGGTCATAGCTTATTAAAATGAGGTAGATACATGAAGACCCATACCGATAGAGGCCTCAGTGAAGATGTATTCTGATCTGAGTTGCAGGAACCACTAAGGGCATCTTATCACAGAGGAAAGAATCCTGAGGGTCATCTTGTTGTGGGGCAGTATGTGTACATATATTGCTGTTGTCCGAACAAAATCTCGTATCTCCAAAATGATAACTTTACAGGAGAAGTAAAAAAAAATCTACTTTGCTTTTAATGTAAGTCAGTGGAACCAGAATTTTTGTCAAGTCATTTTGATCTGTTTCTTTTGGTCCATTCTTAATGAAATTCACACACAATGTAAAGGGCAAATTGGAGATATGAGGTTTTGTTTTGACAGCAGCGATAAATTTATATATTAGCAATAAGAAAAGATACCCTTTCAGATCTAATTTATCTACAGATGATTATAGATAACTACATTGTGAAGTCAAGGCCAGTTTGCTAGCATAGCACATGCTGCAAGTAGTAATACATTTTCAGTCAATTATATATATATATATATATATATATGTGTGTGTGTGTGTGTGTGTGTGTGTGTGTGTGTGTGTGTATATATGTGTACATTTTATTGCTGTTGGAACAAAACCTTGTATCTACATTTTTGTTTTTCAGTGACATTATTTGAAAATGCCTGTTGGCTTAGTTAGCAGGCTAAAAGTGCCACACGCCACAGAACAAGCTCCGTTCCAGATAGCCGCTGTTTAACCTTTTCAACTCCTTGAGACCACCGGTGGTTCCAAAACACACTTCATCATGTTCTTCATAACTTTCATATTTCATAAGCTACATTCAAAAGGTGGGAGTCATATGAGAGCTGTACCTGTCTTCTTTCCAGTCAAATAGATTTGAGTAATGTAATTTTAAACCCTTATAATAAAAGAAGCTGCAAGAGTTGAACCAAATTACATGGGGGAAATTGCTGATTACATTGACTTGCATTAAGAGTAAAGTATGTGTCCTTTCCCCTAAAGTTGTCATTTTGGAGATACAAGGTTTTTGTTGAATAAAACTGTATTACTGATTTCCCAGCATGGGTGAACTGGCCTTGACTTCGCAACTAAAAGGGTCAGTGAAAGGACAGCGTTTATCTTGTAAAGTCTGGTGAGCTCCTGTGTCCTTATTGCTTTTCGTATTATTTGTACCCTATTACAGATCATGTGATCCTAACTTGGCATTTAATATGTTATGGGTGTATATTGCCATGGTAATAGTAAAGCCTTGCGTCCCCATGATATGATGAACTTTTGAACTGGCCATATTCATTCAGCTGTGTATTATAATGTTCTTATCTCGTGTCTTAGTGTTGGTTGGCACACTCGAAAGGCTTTTATTATTGTTTTCATTAAGGCTTTTATTACTGGCTGGCAACTGTTGATTAGATTTATGACATGACTTGTCACGATATCAGAAAATTAACCCATTGTCTCCTTTTCTCTTCTGTCTCTTCCTCTGTCTCCTCTTTTCCTGTCCTCAAGCTCTAACAACAAAGCTTATTTTTAGACTTACTCCATCATTCATCACACAATTTTCAAAGCACGTTAACCGATATTTAAGTGTTTTATATTTAAGAATAAATTTTATTTGATTTGTTGCTGTAGTGATAAAAAAATGGAAGCTGAAATCTAAACGGCTGAGATTTCCCTCTGTGTTGTTATTTTTGCATCCCAAACTGCATTCTAGCACACTAAATAGTATGCAGAAAGTAGCGCATATACCATTAGAAGTGCACTCAATAGTATAGTAGGTGATGTATAGAAGTGTGTGGTTTGGCACTTAGCATTAGATCAGCCAGTGAGACGCGTTCAGTCCAGCAGCTCCAGTGGCTGATTTATAGCTTCGCTTTGCTGCTCATTAGCTACTCATTAAACAACTCCAAAAAGAAGTTAAGGATGCATTTATTGAGGTGAATTAATGCATTCGTTGAGGTAAATAATGCATTTATTGAGACGATATGGATCCAGTCCACCAATGTAGTTGATCTTGTCTTGTCCTCATTCTTTTCATGTTTTTCGTGGTCATTCTGGTCTGTTTTGCTTGGTCTTCATCCACCAGCAGGGTTGTAGCTGCTGCAGTGAGAAGGGTCTGGCTGCAGACATGCACTCTGAGCCTGACATGCGCCGCCAGCCTATTAATGACGTCAGTGCCGCTCTGCCACGACAGTGTTTTTGTCGGTTTTATGAAGAAAAACAGCGAAACACGAACTGCTGGGCAACAAGAGTTACACTGAACATACATTAACATTGTCGTACTGATAATAAGGTAATTAAATATGGAAACTTTCAAAATAAAACCTACCACGACGATCAGACAGTGTCAGAGTTTATTCGCAGAAAACTTTAACGTTACTGCCGACACTCATGAAAACCATCCTGAAGACGATTAGAAACATTAGGAATAAAAATGATGGCTTGATGGTTGCTGTTAGAGGCCATAAGGAAACGATCTAATGTATCTGGAATCAGTCCCAAAACACCTGATTAAATGATCATGGATCCTTCAAACTGTGATATCAACCCATCAGGAAAACACAGAATACCATTAGTGACTACTGAAAACCACCAGGAACCAGACAATTTTAATGGGTTCTATGACTTTTTTCAACAGGGACGTACATTAAATGCAACTTTCTTGCCGTGTTGTGGACGAAAAATGGATTAAGTGATGATATCGCATACATACTACATACATACATCATCTAAACCGCTTATCCTTCTGGGTCGCGGTGGGGTGCTGGAGCCTATCCCAGCTGTCACTGGGCGATATCTCTAAGCAGAAGCAGCCAAAAGTTACCGTGCTGTCGGGCCGTTTCTGCCATAGTGGCAGAGAGTGCATGTGCACGTGACGTCACTGGGGCTGAGAGTGCATCTATCTGAGAGAGGATGTCTGCAGCCAGACTCCATTGGCAGCAGCGGTGACGAGACAAGCTCCATCAGAGCTCAGTCAGAGTTACAGCTCACCTACCAAAATGGTGACAGTGTGTTCTTTATGACGTAATCGAATACAGTGCTGCAATACAGTCAGGTACAGTAATGATGTGTCTGTTTTACATCCCTAGTGTTTTAAGAGTTGCTGTCAGTTTGGGGACATTTTAGATAGAGGTGTGCGCGTGTGTGCGTGCGTGTGTGTGTGCGTGTGTGTGCGTGCGCGCGCACGTGTGTGTGTGTGTGTGTGTGTGTGTGTGCTAGAGCAATAGAGCAAGTTATAAATATAAGTGTAATGAGGACAGGTTTGGGAGAAGCTCCATCTCCTCCCTCAGAACTCTCCCAGACACCTCTCTCACACACACACACACACACACACACACACACACACACACACACACACACACACTCATTCACTCGCTTATTCACTCACTCAGTCTCTCTCCCTTTGTGTGTATGTATATATGTGATTTTTCAGTTTTACTCTGAAATCTTGACTGTAGTGACTGAGTGTTACGTACTGTGTGTGTGTGGGTGTGTGTGTGTGTGTGTGTGTGTGTGTGTGTGTGTGTGTGTGTGAGAGAGAGACATCATTAACCTGGATCCTCCATCTCCCAGGTGATGAGACTGATCTGTAGACCATTATGAGTCATGGAGCTGCAGCCCAGCTCTATGTCCTTCAACTGTTCTCTCTCCTCTCTCTCTCTATCTGAAGAACCGATACAATTAATGATCATAACATTCATGCATTCATTGTCAAACATTCATTGTTTTTATTGTTTATATTCCACTACAGTGTAATAACCAGATTTTAGTTCAGATTTTAGTGCATTTGATTCATTCTGCAGAGACAAAGACAGAGATGCTTTGTAAATGATCTGTATTGGCCTTTCGTCCTCACAGGTGATATCCATGGTCAGTACACAGACCTGTTGAGGTTGTTTGAGTACGGTGGTTTTCCTCCGGAGGCGAACTATCTCTTCCTGGGAGATTACGTGGATCGAGGGAAGCAGTCTCTGGAGACCATCTGTCTGCTGCTGGCCTACAAGATCAAATACCCAGAAAACTTCTTTCTGCTGCGTGGCAACCACGAGTGCGCCTCCATCAACCGCATCTACGGCTTCTACGACGAGTGTGAGTCTAGGGAAGCACACCCATACAGTTAATAATTAGTTGCTCAAGTATAAATGAGAATGGCTAAGGTAGGAGAAGCTAACTGTCCATTAGGGCTGCATAGTGTAGCCTTTATTTATCACTGTCATGATATTAGCCTTTGCAGTACTGAGTGCGTTTACATGCACTTAATAATCTGATAACTGCAGAAAATCAGAAATCTGTTCAATGTGTTTACATGCACTTAAGTAACCAGATAATCGGGAAACTCCGGGTCTTCATGAGTCACAGTTATCAGATTTCTGCTTTACAACCAGCCAGTAAACTCTCAGAAGAAGACGTGATGTAACGTATAGCTCAAACGTCATGCCACAGCTTTTTTTAAACATCAAATCAATATGAATGTACATCTTCTAGAAGATGAAGTACTGATGTATATGATGAATGTTTCAATTCTTCATTGCGTCAGGCATGCAGCTGCTTTCAGCACAAAGTGTCTCGCAGGTGCTGTGTTAAACGCTTTTATTAATTATTCTTATTGTTGCTCTTTTGTTTTATTATTGTTTTTGCACTATTGCATTATTAATTAATTAAAAACATTGCTGGAAAATAATTATTTTCATAGCAATTTGCATTAAAATGCTAAACCAGGGATCCTGCCCAATCTGGCAACCCTGTACAGGTTGCTGGCTTTGTTTGAACAGCAGTGAGTGGAGAGCAAAGGAAACAATCTTTTTAACTATAACTATAAAAATGAAAACAACTTTTTAGGCACCTCTTGTTAGTGAACGGAGTGATCAAGGCTTTTAAACTGCTCAGAACGCTTTACACCTGAGCTCTAAACTCAGCCTCGTGAGCTTTATTGCCTGGTGCAGTCTGAATAATTTGAATAATTAGCTGACTGTGGCTAGCTAGCCAGCATGCTCTCATTTAGTCTTGGAATTAAAGTCCACGCTAGCTGGCTGGCTAGCAGAAGAAGAAAACGTACATGGACACATCTCAATCTCCAAAGAGTCCAGTGTGCAGAGCGGGCAGCTCCATGCTACTGGTGACAAGCTAACATTTAGCTTGACAAAAACACGCACTTGGGTTCATAAAATTATTAAACACGTTGGTTATTTGAATGGATTTTCCATTATTTTTGTTGTATTTTAAAAATCAAATTTGTCCGATTTCATTGGAGATATGTTGCAGCCCTATTTTAAATGAATCAGTGTGTTTTATTTTAATCTAGCATAAATTCATTCAATTAAAATAATGCAAACCAGGTTTTAACCACCTTACACTGATTCACCAATTAGTTTTTTAATATATTGACTGTAGCATTGTAATCGCCGTATTTGGTCCATACCGAGCAGCCTTACAGTTCATTCAATTCAATGCACATCAATACACACCTGTGCAAAAAGGCCTCAGCGATTTGGACACCATTGTATGACACTGTGTCTGTGTTTGTTTCTCACAGGTAAGCGCAGGTTCAACATAAAGCTGTGGAAAACCTTCACAGACTGCTTCAACTGTCTCCCCATCGCTGCCATCATCGATGAGAAGATCTTCTGCTGCCATGGAGGTAGGAGCACATGACACCCACTCCTGCTGAAGGCTGATCAGCCTGAGTAACAAACAGTCCACATTTCTAGCATAGAATAGGCAGCAACCAACACTTCAAAAGTTGTAACAAGTACTGTTTGTGCAAGCGCTTTTTTACAGACATTTTGAGCCTGGTTTTGCACTAGCAAACACTATTAATGCAAATAATCTTTTCCCAGTTTGCTTTGGGACTGGGACCCTGCTTAAAGAGGAATTCCACTGATTCGTTAAAAGATTCTGCATAATTATAAATCGTTAAAATGCAAACAAAGTCATTCAGAGTGGTTTGATGTGAAATGTTCCATTGTGAAGAGGCTTGCGGAGTCGTTTACAGTGGTGGTGATAGGAACCAGACATCTGAAGAGTTTAATGCCCCTAAAATCTCCCTCGCAGAAAGCTGTTACGTGAAATGATTACGGATACTTTTTCTTATGAACATGCGGGATCTAGCACCTGAAGAAAACTTTCTTACATCTCAACTATTAAATTATGCAGAAATTTTGAACAAATTTTGAACAAAAAGCCCTAAAATATCACAGTCTAGTATGAAATGGTCCTGGGCAGTGATTGCAAAAAGTATTTAAATTTGTGCTTTATTCTCTAAACTAGATAAACTCTAAAGCAGTTTTCTCAGTTAGCCGTAAAATGTACGCAAAAAGGGATATTCCTAATGGACAGTTCAGACTCTTAATATAAATGGTCTCCTATTACTAAGAAGTCTTGCTTTATCAAACATCTCATTGGTAATGCCCTACACTTCGGTGCTTTCATGCTCAAAAGTGCTTGGTCCATCTTATCAACTAATTATTCAGCCTTCTAAGAAACGGCAGGTTTGTTATGAGAGCATAAAGCTGTGGAAATTTGGCCTAAAGAGAGCACTGAAACAAAGTCAGTTCATATTAATCTGTCTTTCCAGGTCTTTCCCCTGACCTCCAGTCGATGGAACAGATCCGACGGATCATGAGGCCTACTGATGTTCCCGACACAGGTGGGTTTGCATGTATGCCTATGGATGAGGCTCAGTCCTGAGATACTTACTCAAAGGGATAGGTCAGCAGTATACAGTTTCAGTGGTCATGTTAATGATATTACAATCTTTCTCCCCCTCTCTGTAGGTTTGCTGTGTGATTTATTGTGGTCAGACCCTGATAAGGATGTCCAGGGCTGGGGGGAGAACGACCGGGGTGTGTCTTTCACCTTTGGGGCTGACGTGGTCAGCAAGTTCCTCAACCGCCATGATCTGGACCTCATCTGCAGAGCTCATCAGGTACACTACCCACAGCAGCCAGTCGTATACTCCAGACTGATGGACAACAAGGCTGACCAATTATCTGCTTGGTTTGCAAAGCATGAACAAACATGTCAACTGAAATAGAACATTAAAATGTATATGGATCGCACTGGCTTATATAACAGTTGCATAATTGCACTGCTCTGTTTTGTTTAACTCCAGGTTAAGGAGGATAGATATGAATTGTGCTGCTCTATACTGTTTATGTCCGTGTGCCAGAAAATCAGTGTTTATTGTACTGCTGTATTTTGTTAACTCCAGGTGGTGGAAGATGGTTATGAATTCTTTGCGAAGAGGCAGCTGGTCACCCTGTTTTCGGCACCAAACTACTGCGGAGAGTTTGACAATGCCGGGGGCATGATGAGCGTGGATGAGTCCCTCATGTGTTCCTTTCAGGTGTGACACACTCATTTCCCTGTTCATGCTTTATACACGTTTCACACAGACTCACAACAATGATGTTTGCAATCCATATTTTTATGGTAACATCTTGTTATCTAGTTCTGTTTCAGGTAAATGTACAAAAATAATTTTAATACAGTGATACTACTCCTGAACTTCACAGGCCTCAAATAATATTAGTAGAAAGTATGTGTGCAGAATTATGAACAGAGCGGTAGATGATTCTAAAATGACTGCAGACGCAGCAGAACATCAAAAATAGTTTTTTGAAAAAATATATGCCCATTTTGATTCCTGATGCCAGCAACACATTTTAAAAAAGTTGGGATAGGACAACAAAGGACTGGTGAAGTTGTGTAATGCTAAAATAAAAATGATGATTAAAAAAACACCTGGTTGAACATCCCACAACTTATGGAGTTAATTGGCAACAGCTCAGTAACATGACTGGGGATAAAAAGAGCATCCCAGAGAGGCTTTCAGAGGTAAAGATGAGGAGGGGTTCACCACTCTGTGAAAGCCTGCATGGGCAAATAGTGCAATAATTCAAGAATAACGTTTCTCAACATAAAATAGCGAATCATCATCAGTACACAGTGTCATTAAAAGATTCTGAGAGTCCAGAGAAATCTTTCTACGCAAGGGACGAGGCTGAAAACCAACATTGCATGTCCGTGATCTTTGGGCCATCAGGCGGCACTGCATTAAAAACAGACATGATTCTGTAGTGGAAATCACTGCATCGGCTCAGAAACACTTCTGAAAACCACTGTCTGTGAACACAGTTCATCACTACATCCACAAATGCAGGTTAAAACTCTACCATGCAAAGAAGAAACCAAATATAAACAGGATCCAGAAACACCACCGCCTTCTCTGGGCCGGAGCTTATTTAAGATAGACTGAGGCGAAGTGGAAAAGTGTTCTGTGGTCAAACGAATCAAAATTTGAAATCATTTTTGGAAATCAGGGATGCCGTGTCCACCGGGCTAAAGAGGACACTGACCGTCTGGCTTGTTATCAGTGCACAGTTCAAAAGTGGTAGTGCATTAGTATGCATGGTATGGGTGACTGGCACATCTGTGAAGGCACCATTAATGTTGAATGATATTTACATGTTTTGGCAACATATGCTGCCATCCAGACAACGTCTTTTTCAGGGAAGGCCTTGATTATTTCAGCAAGACAATGTCAAACAGCGTGGCTCCGTAGTAAAAGAGTCCTTGTGCATTATTAAACAAAAAATGCTGAGGAGACCCTGAACTGTTGAGCAGCTGAAATTCTATATCAAAACATTTCACTTTCAAAACTACAGCAGTGTCTCAGTTCCCAAATGCTTACAGAGTGTTGTTAAAATTTAAAACAGGCATATATTTTTTTTCAAAACTAAAAAATGTCTCAGTTGCAACATTTGATGTGTTGATGGGTGGTATTAAACTAATCTAGAATGACTATAAATTTCAAAAGTAGAGGTCAAGTTCTGAGGCAGGTAACTTGAAAAACAATAAATAGATGATTACATTTTTATTTTTGCTTCAACTTTTTTGTTGTTCCTCCAAAAAACGTATTTTGACATGCAATGATATTTGTACAAGGTACAAATATCAGCTGGTGTCTAATGTAAAATATTTTTTAAAACTTATTTTTAAATGATCAACTATTTAAATAACAAGTATAATTTTATTCAGTTTCTTAACTGTAGATTTATGAAAATCATTCAGTACTACTCTGACAAATGATTTGACATTTCAGCACATGTACCCACAAACATAGAGCATGTATGACCCATCACTCAGTCATGTTTGCTTTGTTCACATCTCTCTTTCTGCTCACTCTCTCAGATCCTAAAGCCTTCAGAGAAGAAGGCCAAGTACCAGTACAGCGGGGTGAACTCGGGCCGTCCCGTCACTCCCCCCCGCACCACACAGGCCCCAAAGAAGAGGTGAGCGGCCTGTCCATCCACCAGCGAAAACACCCCTCAACCAACACATCCCATTCTCTACAAGACCCCAGGAAACAACACCCCTCTCTGGAGGGGGGCTACCTGTCCCTCAGTCTCCCCTTCTCTTCCCCTTACACTTTTCTTAATATCCCTGTACATAAATTTTGCTGTGACCAGTTGATAATCTTTCTTTATTTCTCTCTGCCTGTTAGGGGCTATTTTTAATAATAATAACTACAACAACAACAACAACAACAACAATAATAATAATAATTATTAATAATAATAATAATAATAATAAGGATGATTGTTGATGAAGGTAGGATTTTGAGTGTGTTGGCTCGCTCGCTCTCTCTCTCTCTCTCTCTCTCTCTCTCTCTCTCTCTCTCTCTCTCTCTCTCTTTGACACAGTATTAAAGGGTAAGTGCATATAGGGAGTTAATGTAAAGGAACATTTCACTACTAACGTCTATAGGGCGTGGTCAATTACCACCATTAATCATTTCAATACGTTTCACTATACTTAGTAAAAACAGAACCTACTGACTTAAAACATATAATTAATTAGGGCTTTCAAACAATTTTTAAGAATTATTTGTGTTTAATCACATTTTTTTGTAGTTATTATTTCTTATTTGCCCAAATTCATTCAAAAAAAAAGCAATGCATTCCGTTATAGATGTATGAGTGGACAGAATATATTTAGTATTTTTATCAGCTGAACATCAAACTCACGTAAATGCTGGGTGAACCTAAAAGAAAAGCTAATTTTCATAACTGACGTCTACATAACTCCTCTGTGATTGTTGGTTCTTGCTCTAACACTGCTGTTACGGCTTGTTTCAGAGGTAACTGGAGCTTTCCACTTGACTGTTGCATTTGTTAGTTTGGTGCTCGTTGATTTAACCATAGTTCTAGCGAGTGGCCTGTCCAGTGTAGTCTGCGGAAGGCATCGTCCGGTGCTAAAGTTTCTGATATTACTGATATTGCCAGCATTGTTTTGCTTGTAAATAATAATAAAGACTAGATGTACTTCGGTGATAAACAAATCCGCAGCATGTCCGTAACTGGAAATAACTTCTGTAATATGTTTTATCGAGAGACCCATAAGTTGGTCTTGCCATTTAGGCAAGACGGCTACAGTCACAGAGTCATAGCAACGGCATGCATTATTGTGTTAACTTTGACATCATTGCTTATAATAATTGCTTGCTTATTGGCTTCTATTATGCTTGTTTTGAGTCCACTGGTTTTCCTTTGCTAAGTGCAGGGAAACGTGTTGAAATGATGGTGCTAATCGACTACACACTAGTTTGAGACAGTAGAAAGTTGCTGGAATATTCCTTAAAGAAGGTTTGGTTTGGTGGGTTTTTAATGTTTGCCTTTATTAGTCCTAAAGCAGTAGGACCCTCAGAGTGAGCACGTTTTCCTTTAACACTCACCGTCTCTCACATGCACGCTGATGTACCGCTCTTACATTTGTGCACACTGCTCTAGAGTATGACGTAACCTCATTATAAGACCAGACCTGGGTACGTTTTTATACATCCTCCAGTGCCAGCAGTGACTCAGAGAGAGACAAAGCCTTGAAGGAAAGAAAGAATCTGTCCAAGAAGCCGTTTAACCCTGCATCGTTTACGTAATCCCATATTTCAATTGGATATATGACTCCTCTAAAACTGAGAGCACATTTACCGCTGGTCCAATTCTCTAAAACCTCTGCTGGATAACAAATCAAAACTTCCTCTGAATATAAAAGCTGAACGCAGACGGCAGAGCCAGTAAAATGGAAGTAGAAGGGATTTGAAAACAGATACGTTCTTCAACACGAACACATTTTCAGCTTATTTGCACACAGTCTATTGCTCAGTATTTAACTAGGGTTCAGTATTTGATTCTAAAAGCACTGTAATCACATGTTTATCCCCATCTAACTTCTCCAGCTGTCAGAAGGATAAGTGGTGTTTGTCTTTGGACATGAGTGGTCACTAACCAGCTTTTTTAAGCTGCTGTTTTTTGAATGTATTACATTTGTGAGGTGATGGAGTTGATGTTTTATTGTGTATTAAGAAACTGCAGCCTGCAGAGCTTGAGAACTCCTTATGAGCAGGAAACATATCCTCTCTCTCTATTCCCCCTGTCTATCTCTCTATATGTCCAAAAGTTTGTAGACACCCTCTTATCCTATGTTTCTTTGGTAATTAAAGGTATTTATAGGGAGTTTGTCCCTTTTTGCTGCAGTAACAGCTTCTACTCTTCTGGCTGGGCTTTACACTAGATGTTGGAACACTGCTGTGAGGGTTTGATTGCATTCAGCCACAGGAGCATTAGTGAAGTCAGGTACTGATGTTGGATGGTCAGTTCTGGATCACTCCAGCTCGGCTCCACTGCTCTATATGAGTGCAGTTGAACACCTGTGTTAGTAAAAGTAGCTGAAATCACTAATTAGAAGGGCTGTCTAAATACTTTTGGACGTAACCTGTCTGTCTTTCTATCTTAGCTCCTTTTACCCCTTTTTTCTCCTCTCTCTCTCTTCTTGTACCTCTCTCTCTTTTCTTCTTTCTGTCCGTCTCTCCCTCTCTTCCCTCTCCCCTTTTATCTCCTTCCTCTATTCTTTTCTGTCTCTTATTCATTATCTTCATTTTTTTTTCCTCTCTTCACTCCCTTTCTTCTGTTTTGCCTCCCACTTTTTTCCTCTCTCCGCTTTCTGTTGCCTCGGTCTCTGTATCTTCCTCCTCTGTCTATCTCTCTCTCTCTCTCTCTTTTTCTGTTTCCTCTGTTTGTACTAAGAAGTACACATCAAGTTGCTCTCAGTAGAACGGATGAATTAACTGACTGTGGGTGAAATCTGTGGTGATGGCGCCCCCTGGTGTACACATTGTGTCATCACATTAAGAAAGGTTGTTTCCATCAATTCAACGTCAGGATCCCATTATTGCTCCCTTTTCTCAGCCCCACTGACCAGCTGAGGGGTCAGTGCTGATCAGCGGTACAGAACAGGCTATTCCACATGAGTAAAAACACTGACTGGTCAGTCACACCTGTCGGAAATACTGGAGAATCCTTTCCGTGTGTGAACATTGTTGCCTCACTAATATTTGTTGTAACTTCTTTTTATTTCTTCTTGTTTTTAATGTGCGTTTGTGTTTTTGTTTTGTTTTTTTTTTCTCCTTAATTTATATTTGAATATTGGGAAACTGAAAGTATTACAAAAAGCAGCTTTGAGATTTGTATAAGTGGATTTCAGATTCTTTGAACTCAATAAATGGAAAAAAAAAACTCCCTGCCTTGACTGCTGTTTTGTTCTCTGAATGCGTTCTAGCTGAAGCCAAATACTGACTAAATTGATTATGCGCAAGTCACGTCATGGTCACTGCTGCCCACGTTGCCTGGTGTAGAAGGCAGTGGGGTTTAAAGTTTTCTGTTGGACTTAAATAATTTCCTTCTCTGATTCTTTTTCTTTTCAAAAAAAGGTTTCCGTAAGAAATTGTTGCGGGCAGTTCAATCAGTGATGAATTCTGTTGAAAATGTTACACATGTATAGTCTGTTGTTAGGCACTTTAAAACTAGAGGCTGATGCAGAACGCTGGAAGATAAGTGGTCAGGATTTTAGACAGAAGCATAAAAATCATCATGGGTACACACCTCCATATTTCACCTGAAGATGTGAAATGCTGCATATAACACGTACATATCCACACACTACCATTCAAAGGGCTGGACTTGTGCCATTTTAGTAGCTTTTATTTTATATACAACAATAACTTGCACAACACACACCAAAAGGTACAGTGGCCTCTGGTGTAAATGCTTCTATGTTGCATTCCTTTATAATTTCACACAAATTTTTTCATCACATATAATATGAGCTTCTCTTGAATCTCTGAATGTTTACGTGAATTTCAGAATTTCTTAGTATCTGCTTTAATGACCATGTGCGCTCGAGCGGCCCTGGACTCCACAAGTGCAAAACGCCTCTGACCAGTAGATCAAATCCATTGAAGCTCATCTGAATACGAGCTTCAGTGTAAGAGAGAAGACGAAGGCCTTCACATGAACAATATTACAAATATGCTTTAGTTTGAATAATGACCTACACTCTTAAAAAAGATGGTTCTCCAAGGGTTCTTAGGCAAAAAAAATGGTTCTATATAGCACCATGATTACTCAATACTTTGCATGATTAAGGGTTCTTTGCATCATGAAATGGTTCTTCAGAACGTGCTGTAGATGGTTCTATATAGAGCCTTTTTAAAAGGATTCCTCTGCTGTTATGATGTCAAGCTTGTAAAAAGCCCTTTCTGGGTGCTATATAGAACCTTTTTCAGAATGATTCTATATAGAACCATCTACAGCACATTCTCTATCAATCTGAAGAACAGGCAAAGGGTTCTTTGAGTGTTCATGGTGCAATATAGAACCATTTTTCTTGCTAAAGAACCCTTTAAGAACCATCTTTAAAAGTACAAAAAGTGCAGAATCTTGAATATTTCTTCATTCTTTTACCTATTATAACTAAAACTGTTTTTTTTTCAAAACTCTAAAAGTTGTTTAGTTGCAAGTTATAATGAAAAAAACCCCACTGATTTTTCATGTAGTCTCAGACTTTTGGACCCCACTGTGTATTTATTCACTATTAAATTATCTGCATTTGATCACCACAAATATGAGTCAATCTGAATTTTAATTTTATTACTTTTTAAATTACTTTTAAATGTCAATATTCAATCATTCTCAGCATTGCAGTGACACTGACGTGGAGGTGGTGTGTTAGTGTGTGTTGTACTGGTGCGAGTGGATCAGACACAGCAGTGCTGTGGAGTTTGTAAACACTGTGTCCACTCACTGTCCACTCTATTAGACACTCCTACCTTGTCAGTCCACCTTGTAGATGTAAAGTCATAGACGATAGCTCATCTGCTGCTGCACAGTTTGTGTTGGTCATCCTCTAGTCCTTCATCAGTGGTCACAGGACGCTGCCCACAGGACGCTGCTGGCTGGATATTTTTGGTTGGTGGACTATTCTCAGTCCAGCAGTGACACTGAGGTGTTTATAAACTCCAGCAGCACTGCTGTGTCTGATCCACTCAGACCAGCACAACACACACTAACACACCACCACCACATCAGTGTTACCGCAGTGCTGAGAATGATCCACCACCCAAATAGTACCTGCTCTGTGAGGGTCCATGGGGGTCCTGACCACTGAAGAACAGAGTAAAAGGGGGCTAACAAAGTATGCAGAGAAACAGATGGACTACAGTCCGTAACTGTAGAACTACAAAGTGACCTATATAGTAAGTGGAGCTGATAAAATGGACAATCAGTGTAGATACAAGGAGGTGGTTTTGATGTTACGGCTGATCGGTGTAAATAGTTTAATCTTTGTATTAATATAGTATAAAAACTCATGATGAACTGGTCGTGGGTGAAATCTGTGGTGATGGCGCCTCCTGGTGCACACACTGTGAACACAGTGCATCTCTCCCCTGCACATTCAGAAGAAAAACTGACCCAAGAAAGAACCAAAGGAACTTAAAGTTCTAGTTCTAACTATTTCCCACCTACTTGAGAAACAGCTGGAACTGTCATAATAACAGTGGTTCCAGAGGAAAAATGTCCAAAAAGAATACATTATAATACATCACAGCCTCATATAAACATCCATGCCTCCTTGATATTTGTTATCATTTCATTGTAATCTTTTGTGTTTTTTTAACTGCATTGCTGGTTATTTCTTCATTAATATTTGGATGAGTGGGAAAGTAAAGTTATTACAAAAAGCAGCTTTGAGATTTGCATAAGTGGATTTTGGGTTAGGACCCAGAGCAAAACACTTCTAGTCTTCATAGCTTCAGAGAGCATCAGTGAGTAATTCGGCTCAGAAAATCACCCAAAATCCTGATATTATTGCTCTGCTTTTTGCCCTTCATATTCCAACAAAGGGTTAAAACAGCGACATGATTCATACATCAGATCACTCATCAGACTCTGCCTCACCATCCAGAGTGATTTCATCCACCTGTGACCATCCATCAGCCAGAGATCCAGCTCCAAAATCACCCAAACCCCACTCGCATATTACATATGACAAATATTATTATAAAACTAATTATATTTAGCTCTGTCTTTCAGTTTACATTAATTTTGAGTATTAAACATATCTGACATTAAATATGCAGCTCGATTTATAATTAAAAAATAAAGCCTGTCTTGCTGTGTATGAGTTTTAGCACTCAGCATGAATCCAAGAGGACAGAAAATCAATGAAAAACATGTCTGCCTTATGCTAATTGCTTATTTTTACTCATAATAACTAATAGAATGAATCACCATCAAAATTATTGCACTTTCAGCTCACAGACACTCCAGATTAACAATTTCTGAAAAGGTATCTGAGGTGCAATCTGTTTTCAAGATCTCTATA